AATGGACAGAAGAGAAGAAACAAACACGAATTCCTGTCAACTCTTTGTCATCTCCTTCAGCCGACTCTGTAGCCTCCTTAAGGCCCATCTCTTAATCCTGTCACACTGGGGTTAAGTCTTGCTGTGTGAATCTTGGGCACATTCAGACCACACCAAGTCCAAGGAGGGTGGTGCCCACGTGCCGCCCAGCACCTTAAATGCCATCTTACACGTGTACCTGGAAATGCCACAAATATGCCTGCGGATATAGGTTCTCCATGCAGAAGGAAGTCTGAATTTCAGACTGAACTGCAAAATCATCACGTCACCTTTTTAGAAAGATGTTGCCTATGGTCACAATAAAATAAAAATACAACATCTCCCATAGGAGTCACAAATGCAGCTGCTTCCAGGTAATTAAATAAAAAGAGGAGCTAGAGGTGTACACTTCAGCATGACACGAAGATGTGCCTGGCCATGCGGTAGCTTGTTCACTCCCTTCCCTGTTCTTTCCTGTGAGCAGAGTCTGTGTTCCCTCTCAGAGCAACAGAACATGTGGGACAGGCTCTCCTCTGCTCCCTCACACTGAGCGTACTGACACGCGCCAGTCTTGGCCAGTGGTGAGGTCAGGGGACGTCACCTAGGGCAGGGGCTGTGAGCCTACAGTGCACATGCCACAGTGGGCTGTTTGTATCACCGCAAGCTCTAAAAGGTTCCCTATCACTGATCTAGGGTAAAGGTTTTCCTTTATAAGAAAGAGGCACGTGTGTGTGAGTGTGTGAGTGTGTGTGTCTCCTGTGAGCCATGAGAGACACTGGCACTACTGCCCTGAGACTTTTTCATTGAGATGGAAATTTTGACTGAAAATAATCCTCCCCACCGTTTCAGGGTACTACAGCAAGGTGCCAGCCCCACCCAAAGGGGCCGAGACCCCTGGGCTTGCACCAGCTGCCACCGAATGAAGGTTTTTAAAAAAACAGCCAGAAATGCAGATTTTATATAAAATTTCATTGTTTTATTTCACTTCTTTCATTGTTAGGCGCCGAGCCTGGGACTCAGCTCATGCTGGGAAAGCATTCTACTACTCAGCTGCAGCCCTGTCCTTGAGTTTTAAACGTGGGCTCAACTTAAGGAAGTATCTGCAGGCCAAATAAAATGCATGTGCAGATCAATTTCACCCTACAAGCTGATCCATCTTAGAGTGGTGGTGAGCAGCAAATTAAAAGTCTTTAAGGTGAGTAAAGCTGATAGCGAATACATTGCACTTAATATGTGCCAGGCGCTATTTTGATTGTTTTGCTAGCTTAGTCCTGATGTGTGGCTGAAGTAGGCATCACAATACCCTTCTGGGGGAGATGAAACTATTTGCTCACTTTGCAGATGCAGCAAGTAAGGGAGAGAAGTTCTAGAACGTACTATAGAGAGAGAAGGTTCTCACGGAGGGAGGAGCAGGGCTCTCAATCCACAGTGGGCGATGTGGCTCTAGATCTCACCACTCTGGGGAGTGCATTATGCCTGTAAAACCCAAACAAGATCCTGATCTACCCTTAGGTCAGTGCTTAGTCAGCATAGTTCTCTCCCCACGCCCCCTCCCATGCTTCAGGACCATTTCAGGAACAAAACTGGGGATTTCCTGATGCTGAAGAGGACGGATTTTATTATAGTAATAATGAAACCTGTCATTTCAGTTTGGTACCTCAAAAGCTGTTGGGATGTCAGCAGGCTGACGGGCATTCCAGGCGGGGAGTGGGGAGCAGAGCCTTGGCTGATGCAGTTATATTTAATGTGATGCAACGGGAGAACTCAGGATGCCAGCTGTGATCCAAGCTCCATGATTTGTTCTTAATGGTGTGTGCCAACTGCTGAGGTCTCAAGGTCTTCAAACCATATACAGGGACAAAAGTACATGTCATAGAATCTCCATGTGAAATAAATAAGAGTTCTCATAGAGTGACTGTTCAACACATAGCAGAAGCTTGATAAATGTTACTTTGTCTGGTGTCCTTCGTCATTCTCTCCAGCCTTCCTTGATCATTCAGTCATCCATTCAACCAGCTTGCGTTGAGCACCAGATTCTTGCCATACAATACCGTGTACCTCTTCTGGATTCCTCAGTAAGAAGATCATTAAGAGATAATTTTCAGCCCCTCAGCCTTGGGCCTCCAGAACCTTGAGCCAAAATAAACCTCTTTTCCCTGTAAAGTTACCCAACCTCAGGTATTTCATATTAGTAATGGAAAGCAAACACAAACAGTCCCTTCCAGTTGCTCTTTCTATGCCCTGGACACGCTGATATGCCTCATTGAGTCCCTTAATTCTGCCCACATTTCTGCATGTGGTCCTTTTGTTAAATTTCTGTCAGAGGCCAGGGGGACCGGTGGGGACTGGTGGGCCAGGAAGAGAGTGGTGAGAAGCTGTCCAGAGGCAGGCAGAGGCTGGCCAATGACGGGCAGTTGGGAGATGGGAAAGGACATGGCCTTTAAGACCAAGAGGCCCAGAAAGTCTTCGAAGAGTTCCGGTCGGGGGAGTAATTCAAGCCGTGTTTTAAATCTGTCATCTTCTACAGCGGGTAACAGTGAGAAGCTATTGGTACAGTCCAAACCAGAGTTGCTGGTGGCTTGCACTCGAAATGGTGGCACCCCAAGTAGAGAGACTTGAAGAGCTTTTGATCTCACCCTACGATCCTGAGCTGTCATAACATTTCAGTTTTTCTCGACCCGTATCCAAGGCTTCTGGAGAGCAGTAAATATCCTATTATTTTAAAATTTATGTTTTCATCTTGATGATCATCTATTTTTAAAATTATTATATCCTGGATCATTTACAGGCTCACTTTAGTGTTGCCACATAACTTCTTCAGTTCCTAGTTTGAGTTCTAAAATCTCCATAGTGACAAATGTTTGCATTTGCCATAATATAATGTTTTTTATTGAAATACACACACAGAAATCTACACCACACAGAGGTGCCTAACTCAGTGTATATATGTGTGAAACTGCAGAACCAGCACATTTAAAATCCCAGAATTACCAAGGCTTTAGGAATCCCTCTCCTGCCTTCCCAAGCCACCACCATACCCACAGATGTAACCATTACCCTGATTCCAAACAGCACTGTTCAGTTTTGCTTGGTTTTGAACTGTCAATGCATGCAGAGAAGAGAGGCCCACAGGATAAAGCAGAACTCTAAAATATCCCCACTTTGTACGGGATGCCTGAGTGAGGGACAGGCCCTCGGTGTCAGTTTGTGCTTCCCGGACACTGTGATGGGGAACCGAGCTGGAGACCAAGTTACCCCAAAGCGTGAAGCAACCTAACAAGCGTACACAGTGAGGTCATTGTTTCCCCGGCCCCGTCAATGGCCATGGCCGTGTCCCAGCACGGCCACATCAGCAGCTCTGGGTCTCCAGACTGTTTATTGTGGCTGCGGCCGTTCTGCTGCTACTATTTTCCCACGCCTTAGGTGAGTCATGAGATGTTGAGGCTAAGAGTGAAGCCTTGGTTTTGCTTTTGTTTTTCTACTCCATACTCCGGCAGTTTCCCCAAATGAAAGGTGCTTTCGTTAATCTAGAAGAAAAAGTCCAGCCTTTAACTGCAAGGAGCAGGGCTGGGGACTTAGCTCAGTGGCATAAGTGCCTGCCTTGCAAGCAGGCAGTCGTGAGTTCCATCCCTGGTACTGATAAAAAGGAAAAAGACCAAAAAAAAAAAAAAAAAAAAAAAAAAAAGAAAGAAAGAAAAGAAAGAAAGAAATGCATTATGTGTTGGGCTGGGGATTTAGTTCACCGGCATAAGCACCTGCCTTGCAAGCAGGTGGTCCTGAGTTCGATTCTCGGTACCAGTAAAAAGAAAAAAAAAAAAGACGAAGAATTTAACTACATGGAGCACCTCTACACACACACACACATGCACACACATGCATGCACACACACGCACATGTGCACATACATGCACACACACACTACCCCACCGGCTCTTATTTATTATGCTGCCCAGGTCAAAACAAGGATGCAGGCAAAAACTGGGTTAGATGTACTCTCCTGTTCACTCCAACTCCAGGCATCCCGAGGCTCCCACTGGTCCCCCGAGCTCCTCACTGGAAGTACACACTCTTACCCATCAAAATGTGGCCTTCTCATCTCCCATACCCTCCTAACACCGCTGTCACAGACAGTAGGCAGCAAGGGGTCCATCAGAGGGATCCCCAGTTGGTTGTGTAGAACGAACTTTGCATGTGGCATCAAGAGGCTAATTTTAGTTCTAAGGTTTTGTCAGGTTAATTAGATGAAGGGACAGAAACTTGACCTAGCAAACCCCCAAGCCAAAAAGTTCCTATAGGGAAGGGGTCAACGGTAGCTATGGTGTTGCCTGCAATGTCACCAAGACAAACTGTCATCACGTGACACTGCTTTCCTGGGATGGGTGACAGCCCCAAACTTGCCTCCTGTCCTCTCCACAACCCCCAGTGGAGTAGCCCATCTTCTCTTTTCCACTGTCCTGAAAGCAGACTTCCTGGCTTTGATTGTCCTCCTGGGAACGTAAGTCCTGCTGCTCCGAAAAGCCAGGCCTTGTTCAATGCTCGCCCTGGAACTGGGGGTGAATCCGCTCCGCCCAAAGTGGTGGGGCTGGGATGGGCTGCTTCCCCCGGGGAACTGAGGCAGGCAAAAGTGACAGGCGTCGTCTTCAGCTGTGATCAGTCATGAGAGCTTGGACACACCTCGCCACTTCTAGCCTGGTTTCTGATGGGTAAGATGAGGAGGATGGACCCTGCAGTGTAAGGTGCCTTGTAACACTTGGTAATTCCGCCCGAACTTTTATGCAGTGTTTTCACCTATTGGAGACTGCCAGTACCTAAACTCAGTTAAAATGAGGATCAACAGACCTTGCACTGCCTACGTAGTATGTCAAGTGAGAGGGACACGTTCACTCTAGACAGCCCAACATGCACTCTGTGTGATACCCTGCCCAGTGATACCACAGAAAAATAAGCCAGATACTTGTGCCAACGAAGAGAGAGAGACGAAATGAGAAACAGCCATTTACTGATAAATCCAACCCACAGTTACTGTCCAACTCCAGGCACTGCACCGGACCCTAGGAATAAACCAGGCCAGCAGTCATCGGTCTCCAAGATGCCGATTAGATGAATTACTAAGGAACAACTCAGCACGCCAAGGACTGTAGCAGGACGATAATACAGCTCAGAAAGGTGGACTTAACCCAGTGGGAGACAGGGTTTGGAGCGAGAAGCGATGAGCAGATAGGCAGGGAGATCATCTCCAAGGAGATCCTGAGCAGGGCCTGAAAAAAGGAAAGAAGAAATCAGCCTGAGGGCAGAAGTGGAGAAAAGCATCCTTGCATAAAATGATTAGGTGCTGCTCAGAGGTTACAATTTGTTCCCAGTAACTGGAGGGTGTCATTAAATGGGGCAACAGGAGAGGTGAGACCAGATCGGTCAGGGGGGACCCCAGAGCCCTGGAGGCAGTGGAGGGCCACTGAAGGGTTTTAAGCAGAGGGATAAGGCAGTTTTCAAAGCATCTACTAGAATTACTAAGGGTCAGACAGACACAGCCCAGCTTGCTGTCGTTAAGAAGCCTGTGGCCTTACCATATAAATGGTAAAGGAGAAACACTTCACGCATAGTATCTGTCTCCTGCTTTCATAATGTTTGTGCATTCAAGTATTTATTCATATTTATTTTGTACCATATAGAACATAAAGCTTACCCTTCAGAAAAATGTCTGTACCTTTTTAAAAGCCCATCCCTGTTCCAAAAATGCTTACAGGTAAACTATAAATCTCTGCTGAAAATTTGGCCCCATCTCATCCTTAAGTTTTCATACCTGATTATAAAACAACTCTAAGATCCCTGTATCCTCTATTATAAGGATTTAATAATCTACCAGCATTTAAAGGGGCATCCCCGGGAAGTCTCTGCTGGCTGCTCAAAGATCTTCATTCAGTCTGCCTTCTACAGAAGGGGGAAAATCCAATTTTAAAGAAAATTGCTCAATACAAAGGAAAACCCAGATCACTGCACATTCAGACTTAAGGGCAAGCAATGAATCTTAACATTGTAAATGCTCAGAGCATCATATATGTGGTTGACAGCCTTTGGTTCCTGGGACAAAATACTTGCCAGACATCAGTTAAAGAATGAAAGATTCACTCAGGCTCAGTGTTTCAGAAGGTGCAGTCCATGGATTATTGAGTCTGTGGCTTCTAGGCCTGCAGCAAGGCGTAAACATCATGGCGACAGGGCTGGACTGAGGAAGGCTGCTCACCTCACTGCAGCCGGGAAGCAGAGAGGGAGAGAGAGGAGAGACAGAGAGATAGAGATAGAAAGGAAGGGGCTAGGGGACAAGATACAGTCCCCAAGTTTATTTCCTAGTGACACCCTCCCTCCAGCAAGGCCCCCTCCTGTTTCATCACCTCCCAGTCCTGCCATGAAATCACGCTATTATTAGAGATAGCAGTCAGGTTTTAGAAATACAGGAGTCAGACAGGGCAGAGGCCAGTGCAGAAGACAAGTGTGGCTGGTGGCACGTCAGTCACCTTGTGGGGGAGGACCAACCCTCCTTAACCCACCCCTTCCAGAAGAGCCCTTGACCATCCACTTGCAAGCTACAGGATTTCTTCCCAATTTGATATTACCCCAGTGACTATCTTTGTACTCTATTGGTTGATCACAGTTTTACCCTACTCACACCCACCTGTGATCTCCCACCAGATCAATATCACTTAAGCGATCACTTGTGATCGTATTGACTGATTAGAGTTCTGTGCCACCTCCCCGTGTGCTCAATAAACACCCTTGAGAAGCAGGGCTGGCAGGCAACCCACATTCTGGGCCCCCTCTGTCCCTCTTAGACAGAAGCTTTCTTTCTCTCAATAAATTCTTCCTACTCTTTTTGTTTGTTTTGTTTTTTTGTCTTTTTTTTTTTATCGGTACCAGGGATCGAACTCACAACTGCCTGCTTGCAACGCAGACGCTTATGCCGCTGAGCTAAATCCCCAGTCCCAGATTCTTCCTACTCTTAACCTCTGTTGTTCCTAGAAAGGATTCCTCAGTTTTAGAGAACTTGTATTGAGCATTTCGGACACCTAGCAGATTGGGAGCTTCTTTCTCCGATATCAGTATCGAAGGCAGACAGAAGCCGAAGCCCTTAGGATCCTTTCGAATGCTCCTCTGAGCATGTAAAACTTTTGGGGGACAGTTTAGATGTCAACCGTAACACTGTGTTTGAGGAAATGCAGGAACCACTCTGAGCTAGGGCTGCCGTGGATAGAGGAGGGGTAAGAAGGCCCACTAAGAGATCTGTGATGAGCACGGCTCCCTGACCAGCCCAAAGCTTGGCCCACAGAATCAGTGGCCTCCCAGTCTGTCATGCATCGAGGAGTAAAAGATGCCGGAGTGCTGGTGTGTGTAGGGGTCTGACATTCTCTGTCTACTACAGGGACAATTAATTGATTTTTAATCATGTAAGCATGCAACTTTGTGAAACAGCGTACAGAATAATATTTTTTTAAAAAAACTTTCTATTTGGCTTTGAAGTATATTTCATACCCTCTTTTTTTTTTTTTTTTGGTCTTTTTGAGACAGGGTCTTGCTATGCAGCTCAGGCTGGCCTTGAGCTCACTTTGTAGCCCAGGCTGATCTCAAACTTGCAACTGTCCCCCAGCCTCAGCCTCTGGAGTGCTGAGATTACAGGTGTGCCACCACGCCTGGCTTTTGCAACAGTTTTAACTTTCAAGCTGTTTCAGAGAAGCTTGAGTGACCATGACAGTGACAGTGACAATTTCCCTTTGCAGTCTGTTGCAGTTCTCAAAACTCCTTCACACCCATCCCCTCATTTGAGGGTCCCAGTAACACATCTCTGTGAGTGGATCACAAACGCCCACCTCCTCACTGAGCAGGTACAGAGCCAGAGCCGTAACTCAGAGTCCTGAAGACTTTTTCAAAGAAAGCACAGAAGCAATCTGGTACTTTTTCTAGGAGAGCGCAGAGGAGCCTTTAAAAAAAAAAAAAAAATCAAAACAACTGGGCTGAGAAAAATAAGCACTGACTGAAGTAGGCTGTACAGGAGGATGAGAAATTAATAACAAAGAGGCCATTTTTCACTTTTCACATGGATTTGAAATGTGAGTTCCCCTTTTCCTCCTATTTGGAGGAGACTCCCTGTTTTAAAAGGCTCTTTATTCTCATTCAAAATGAGAAAATGCCTTCTGACAGCCCTGCAATTAGCAGAGCCTTGGGGTATCGATTTCCGCTGTTCTTGGGCATCAGCCGTTTTCACAGGGCTCTGCAGGCTTCAGAAAGCCCTGCAGTCCCCGAGCTGGGCTCCGGGGCCGTTCCCATCTCGTCTCTCAGTGGCTTTCCTTGGGCTTTGCTGTCCCCAGAACAAGCAACAAGGACGGGAAAAGTGGAAGGAGAGGGAGGAAGAGGAAGAAAACAGCTCCCTAGACAGAAAGAAAACCCAAGAAATCCCAGGGCAGAAGCCACAGTCCCCTTAAAGAAAGAAGAGGGGGTGGGGTGTCCCACCAACGTGCTGGCTTACTCCATCATCTCCCAAATAGCGAATGAGGCCCTGCTGGTACCAGGGACTGGGAGAGACTCTGAGAACACCCAGATGCTGCGGGCACTGATGCGATTCCTCTGCTATCAAGGGTACGGTGGGTGGCATGAGCTGGGTTCCAGGAGGCCACACACTGGAGAGCCTGCACGGCGGCGGCAGGGAGAACTCAGGGTTAACACTTACGGAGAGAAAGAAGGGCGCTAGTAGGACTGAGCAGAGGACCAGGCCCAGACACGAAGCAGTCCCAAAGGAAACCTGGCCCAGCTCAAGGAGTCCCGAAGGGAAGGCAGGTCTGATGGCTCCGGGGGCCTGCACACGTAGAGTCCGGCAGAGGGAGAAGACATAACCACAGAAAAGATGCACAATGACACGATGAGTGCTGCCACAAAGGAGAGGTCCACGGTACCAAAGAAGTACAACAGAGGACTCAACCCAGCCTGGAGGGGGCTGGATTTCAGGCAGGGAAGCTGGCAGACTGGAGAGCTTTTCCACTGTAAAATGGGCAGGTCCTGGCTGAGCGCCCGCCAGTCTCAGGTGCCACGAGACACATCTCATTCTCTTTCACGAACCCCACCAGCTGGTATTGTCCCCAGGGTCTTTGCAGAGTCTCAGAGAACCAAAGAACACCACACTCCCCCTCCCCCAGAGTCCTGTGGGAAAGCCGTGACTCCAGAAATGACAAGGGCTGGCTGGGTGTCAGGTCTAAAAATAACTAGTTGAGATGTTCATGGTGGTGCAATGTAATCTCAGCATCCTGGAGGCTGAAGCAGGAGGATCACCGTGAGTTCAACACCAGCCTGGGCTACACAACGAGACCCTGTCTCAAAACAAACAAACAAACAAAAACAAAAAAACATAACTGGTTGAGATATAACAAGGAAATAGACTTTTGATATATGAGAAATTGGATCCAGAGCTAAAGGGAGGGGAAAGGAGTAGAGAAAAAGTAGGAAAAGGAAATAAAAAGAATTAAGAAGTGTTAAGTGCATGTACTTGGTCCTAAGACAAATGTAAACATGTATTGCAAACATGTGCTAATCAAATTTTTTTTTTTTCAAAGATGGCTAAATGTTTTGGGCCATGATCTAACTAATCAGTTGTCAGCTGAGAAAGGACTTTGAAGGAAAACACATGAGCCAACCAATCTAGGCTTCCTTTGTGAAAAAAACAAAACAGAAAAAATTAGTATGAATCAAATATCAAAGCAAGTTGTGCCAAATTTGCACATAAACAGTATCGGTTACTAAAAATACAATGTGAAGAAGGATGGAGTTTATTCCTACATTCAGTTAGCAATGCTGTATTTGGGGGATTCCAGAAACCAAATAAAGCTGCAGAAACAGAATCAGAATAAAACACGACTCCTGATAATTACACTGTAATGGAAAAGTTTTTTTAAAAATATTTTTTGGCAGACAGCGCGGTAGCTCTAGTTTGTACATGTGATGGTGTGGGATTTGTGGAAATATGCGATCTGCAAAGGGAACTCACGTACTGACATTTGTTCCTTAATGAGAAAAGATAGATGCCAGAGGAGCTGCTGTGACAGAAGCTCTGCTCCATCTCGGCCCTGTCCAGGGGAGTTGGGGCAGCTCCCTGGTGGGAAGAGAATTCACCCAAAAATACTGAGTCCAGAAGCCTGTAGTTTGAGAAAAAAGAGTTAAAGAAACAGGTTGTGGTTTTGAAGGCCTGGCAGGCTTCCATTCTTTTATTTTGAATGGTTTTACACTATTTTTGTCTTGTTTGAATTCATTGTGTGTGACGATATGCACAACTATTTCAAAGAAAACAACATTATGGTAACTGTTAGGTCTGAGAGAAGGGGGAGGATGGGAGCGAGAGGGAGAGAGGGAAGTCCGCGGGAGGAATGGAGTGGACGGCCATGAAAGTAGTGGTCAGCGGTGGCTTTATTTCGGGAATGCGGGGAGGGGGCCCCCCGCCGCCGGCCCCGGGGTGCAGCATCTCTGCACCCGGGGCCGGTGGTCTCTCCGGGAACACGGGGAGTGGAGACTGGCGCGCTGGCCGGCGCTGGCCGCTGGAATCCGGCGAGCTCTCTCTCTCTGGCGAACTCTCTCTCTGGCGAACTCTCTCTCTGGCGAACTCTCTCTCTGGCGAACTCTCTCGGACACGTGGCGTGGGGGCATCTAAATAGCCTAAGCTTAGGGCAGCGCCCTAAGGCCATTAGAGATGCACAGGTATCTCATTGGCGCACAGATTCTTAAGGATGGGGATATAGGGTTACAATCAAGTCCATAGGGGGCGGGGGGGGGGGAGGAGTTTAGCTGCAGCCTTTTCTGGTTACAGTGTTCCATCTGGGCCAGCAACTCTTTCAGTAACCACTGTTGATTTCCTGTTGTCTTGTTTTGAAATTCTGTGTTGATTGCATTGTTTTGTTCTGATCTGCTTTGTTCTGTTCTGTTTTGTTTTGTTTTATTCTCTTTAAAATTAAAAAAAAAAAAAAAAAAAAAAAAAGGAAACAGATTGTGGTGTTAGACCAGGTCTTGAGTTGCCTCCTGGTTATGTAAATGACAGAACTCCTCAGTTTTCTTGTCTGTAAAATGGGCACAGTTATTGTAATCCAAATATTTAATATTGTAATCCAGATACTATAATCCCTTTTCCAGTGCATTTTGCAATCTGAAAAGTTATATTTGGAATCCCATAGAAATATTTTTGGAATTCCAATGAGTTAATTCTAATCTACTACCTCCAATGCAACCCATGGTGAGAGTAAGGACACCAAGACATATTTAAATTATGGGCAGCCAAGGGGTCTTAAATCCATTGCAAGTGAGGGTATATGGACAAAGGCCTTGATCCAAGGCCTCTCCCTGAATTTATTGTTCAAAGATGAGTGATAGTGAGGATGGTGGGAATTACATGAGCAAGGTGAGCTGAGCTAGTCGGGTAGAGGATAAACACCTCTGTAATATACGGGGAGAAAGATATGCAGAAAGACTACTCTGCATGACGCGATGGGGATGGCATATGAATGAATTTAGGAGGCTGTTGCTGCAGTTCCTGATATGTAAGCTTTTGTACTCTGGGAAGTCATAGCCTTTTATTTTTAGACTCGTAGCCAGCTGACATTCTTGGAGCTTTCTGGCTCTGCCATCCGGCTGTATTCAACCTTTCTACAGTGAAGCAATCATAGGAAATTGTCTGTTGGCCTTAAAGATCACTTATCAGTACCTTAGCTCGCCTTTATCTGCATAGTCAGCTCTGTGCATATCAATACATGGAGACAAGGCACAGTTTAAATAATGCAGAGGTGATAGTTCTGTGTTTTAAGGAAAGGAGTCCACTTGGTCTTCTACAGATAGTGGCACCCATCTCATAAACTGGAAAAACTTGAATTCTAAAAGGTGAGTGATTCTTGACTTTTAGTGCTACATTAATTAGTACTACATTAATGTGGAATGTTCTGACAGTGGGACTCATTTCATTCCTGCTACTGTGACAAAACAACGCAGGCTGGGTAATTTATAAACAATAGAAGTATATTGATCACAGTTTTGGAGGCTGAAAGGAGGATGAAGGAGCCAGCAGACCTGGAGACTGGAGGAGGCCTGCTGAGTCTTCGAAGACCAAGCCTGGCTGGTGCCACAGTGGGCACCAAAGCTGCTTCCCTGAGATGGTGCCCCACTGCTGTGTTCACATAGAGCAGAAGGATGGAGAGAAAAACCTCCATGTCCTTCTCTGGTGGAAGAGACAGAAGGGCTCCCTTTGGTGCTCTTTTTCTCTATTTCAATTTAAATTTTTTTATTAGTACTTGTTTGCAATCCATGATGCTTACATCCTGCTGGCTGCTGGTGCATGCATGTGACACATTGTCATTTCCCCGGGTGTTAGACAAACCCGTCCCTGACCTGGAGCACTTATGAAGTGACTTAATCACTCCCCCTGAGGCCTTAGCATTACCACACTAGATTAGGTTCCAGCCTGTGAATTCTGGAAGCACACACAGGCTCAAGCCACAGCAGGCTGATCCCACAGGGTGCTCCCAGACTGGCTCAACAGCCAGGATCTTTGATAGAAATATGATTTCCAGCTCCCCCCAGATCCAACCTGCTGAATGAGGGCCTTGCAGTAGCAGGTGGATCTGTGTTGGGAAAATTCCCAGGCCAAGGCTGGGGATTTAGCTCAGTGGCATAAGCACCCACCTTGCAAGCAGGCAGTCATGAGTTTGATCCTCGGTACCAACAAAAAGTTAAAAAAAAAAATTTTAACCAACTGTCCGGCTCCCCAGGGGCTGACTCAGAGCCCTGGGATAAGACTTTCCTGTGCTAACAGTGGAAGGTGCAGTGATAGAATTTTTTGGCGCGGAAGGGAACCATCTGATAGGATTTTGGCGCGGCTGAAAAGATACAAAGTATGAAATAAAAGAGACCTTTATTTTAAGAACGTGGGGAGAGACCCCCTAACCCTCCGGGTCTGGCATTCTCTCTGCCAGACACGTGGAGTGGGGCATACATGTAGCTTAGGTTTGGGGTGGTGCTTAAGGGGCATTAGTGATGCACAGGAAGCCGATTAGTATTCATTTCCCGCCACAGGCAAATTGCCTAGGGCGGTAAGATGACCTCAAGATAGAGCCCCTTGGTTCCGCCTCCAAGGCTTTACTGGCTACAGTGCCCTTCTGGGGCAAAAACCTTTCAGGCAGGGCAACCCCAAATGAATGGGTTATCCTAACTTCACAGCACTCTTATGGGAGCTGAAGTCAGAGAACCACTGCTGTATGTATTTTAAAATTAATATAATACAGTGGGTGACACATTGGAAGAACCCACTGGAGGTGTCCACAGACCCCTGGAGGACAGTTACGAATTACTGTACATACAGTATACCAATTTTTTTTCTTTTTTTTTTTTTTGTACCAGGGATCAAACTCACGACCTCATGCTTGCCAGGCAGGTACTTATGCTGCTGAGCCAAATCCCTAGCCCCAGTACACCAATATTTACCGAGCATCCTTTACAGGTTGAAGTTCAGATAGACACTGTTTATCTTTGATCTTACAGCATCTCCTGGTAGGTAGATATTTTTATCATCACCAGGCAAACTGAGATTTAGAGATATTAGTAACCTGACAAAAGGATCACGAATTAACCAGAAGGTTCTGGGGTTCCAGGGTGTCCCTTCCCAGAGCCTGTGCTGGTTTCATGAACCCCATAGTTCCCCAAGATTGGAATCATCTCAGCAGGAAATGTGTGGCGATTTCATATGGTCCTGGAGATGAAGGTGGCAGGCGTGGCCTTAAGCAAGGCATCACATCGTAAGAAATCACACATAACATTGCTGAAGCTGATGTACTTCATAGTGCTTGGGTAATGTTTAGAGAGTGCTGGGCACTGTTCTAAGTCTTTATGTACATGCAGTAGGGAATATGATTAAACTCACTGCTCCACAGGAGGAAACAAGCACCAAGTCCGTCGGCTACTAAAGGATATGACCCTGGAATTAGAACCCCAATAAGCAGGGACTCGTCTAGAATAAAGTGTACCCCACACACAAGTGCTGGCAATCGAACCCAGTGCCTTGCACCTGCTGGGCAAGCCCCGTACCAGTAACCACACCTCCAGACCCCTAGAGGTTTTGAACAGTGCCTTGTGGAGCTAAATTGGAGCCCAAGGCAAAAGAAAACTGGCACTTTATATACACTCATCAAAATAACCATCTGTATTTTGAACTAAGTGGGAACAACTAATAAACACCCTACAGTCAAAAGGCATGAATACAGATAAAGGCCCCTGTCATCCAATCTGTTCCCAAAATTGTCAGTTCTCATCAATGTGACCTTCAGAGAGGAGTTTGGGGGACCTGGGCACCTGGGGCTGATTGGAAATGAAAGCTCTCACCACACAGTGGTGCAGGGTGAGCAAATAAACGCCTGTCTTCATTGAAAATGTTGACATTTGTGTACCATGAACTATTTTGCATTTATTTTTATTTTAAAAATATTGCATCGTGTTAGTATTTATTTTGATTACAAAGGCTTTTGGCATCCTGGTGGATTTTGTTGCCAAAAGTGGGTGCCTCTCTTTCTTTGCCCTATTCCTGACCCTGATTCTGCACTGTGCAAGGACTTGAATTTTTAATATTTCCAGAGGTGAAGATCTATAGCAGAGCCGCCTTTTCTTGGGGTGTTGTCTTTTGATCTGGCATGAGCCTGAAAAAAAATGTCAGATGTGAACTTTCAGGAACCAGGCTTCCCTTTTTAAACTTTGTTTTTAGCACATGGCATCTGTTGGAAATTGTGATCTGGGAGGAAGAAAAGGGTCAGCCTCCTGCCAAATTCTGTGCATGGGAAGATGCCAGTGGTTGGATGATGTAGAAAAGCAACATCTGGTTTCAATGCTACTTTTTTCTCCTTAAAATAAAATTCTTTCTAGAAAGTCTGCCACCTTCAATTTTTATGAGATAGTTTACTCTCTCAACCCTAGTCTCAGGAAAACATGTTATATATATAAAAACGTATGCTTTATTAAAGCATTTCCATCTTATTAAAAAGATTTAGGGACACATTTTCTAGCTTACCCGGAAGCCAGGTATGATCTGAATCAAACGGAAGGATGACATTTTCTTGATCTAGGTTCCTGGTTCTGGTCAGGCAGTGCCCTGATGTACTATCCATTGTTCAATAAGTGTCAAAATTCAGCGAGTGATTCCCTTCCGCAGAACAGGACATGCCACAAAGAGACCCTCCAGGAGTCTGATTTTAAGTGGTGTGATGAAATCAGCAAACTAGACACAGATGCAAAGAGGAGCAAAAACAGAACCCCACCTCGCTGCTTCGTAAAGAACCCGCTAGTGACAAACAGCAAGTCGCTTAATCTCTTTTTCTCATACATTGAGTGGGGTGATTTGCACCTGACTCTCAGGATAAATGTAAACTCTGCACCTGGGGAGGAGATCTCTAATGCCCCGCCCCATATCCTTCTTTTCTCCTTCTTTTTTTCTTTTTTGTACTGGGGATCAACTCACAACCTTATGCTTGCCAGGCAGGCACTGTGCCACTGAGCTAGATTCCCAGCCCTTTTTTCCTTCTATACAAATAAAATCCTAAATTTTTATAGCTGTCCAAGATGACTGTGCAAAACAAAGATTAAATTTCTAGTTGGGTACAGTGGTGCACACCTGTAATCACAGCTGTTAGGGAGGCTGAGGCAGGTAGCTTACAAGTTCAAAATCAGCCTGGGTAACTTAGTAAGACAGTCTCAAAATAGAAATCAAAATGGCTGAGGATAGAGCTCAGTGGTAGAGTGCCCTGGGTTCAACTCCCAGGAAAACACACACACACACAACTTCCCAGCATCCCTTGCAGTCAGAGATATGGTTCAGTGATGATCAATGAAATAAGAACAACCAGAGGTTGTAATGCCGACCCAGAAGCGTCTCAGATGGAGAATGTAGGGACAATACCCTCAGAGTGACCGAGTA